TTGCCAGCCTGAGGGTCTCCTTATGGTTCCTGCTGCAATGTAAGTAACCCAATTAATGAAGGACCCATATTTTCAGAGCTGAGAGGAGAGATGAGGTCCAAGTCCTGCAATTCCACACTGATCTCTAAATTTCATTAACTGTTTTATTGGCTTCCAGGGCCAGCTTTCCTGGATTTGTCATGTTCAGAACTTCCTTTCTCTCAGGCTCTTCACTTTTAAGAAACTAAGGTCTGTGGTCAGGACACAGGAGAAAAATGAGGCTGACCTCTAAGATGGGCAATGAATAAATGACAAACCAAGGGATCTAGAAAAATTCCTTGTGTATCAGGATGCCCAGAACAAAAAGTAATGCCAAACGATGAGCTACTGTATTACATCTGATGAAAGACATATACAAAACAAGTATCATAGTTAAACTCTAGCTAAATTCTCATTAATTTCAATCCCAAACTCCAAGATATTTGTCATTATAATTATTTTATATTAATCATGAATTGTCAATGTTTCAATGAGATATGAAACAAAAATTGTTATTACTATTTAAAAAGGGAAATATAATTATTCTTAAGTAATTTGTTCTACCTAGAACAACATTGTTTGAGAAAAGTATCAATGGAAAATGTTTAAGAATTGAAAAGCCTTAGCTAAATGGATGATATAAAACATGAAATAATTTTAAATTGCAATATATAAAATAATAAATACAACACATTTGTTTTATCAGCAATAGTCAATTGGTTGAGAAAAGTTTCCAAATCACAAAATATTTTCAAATGCACAATTTTACCAAAATGGATGAATGCCAGAGTAAATAGCAAAAATTAATATATTAAATAAATTCAGCTGATTTCTATATACCACAAATATGCATTAGAATATGTAATGCAGAAAAACAATCATGTCCACTAAAAACTTCTTAAAAAACTAACAATCGTTGTAAGAACAGTGCAGGACAAAATCTTAATGAGATTGTTTTTAATTTAAATAAAGGCAGAGAAGCCATATAATACAAATGAGAAGGCTGGATTATTTAAAGATATCTACTTTGTTTTCTTCTCAAAATTAATATACGAGTTTAACACAATTCTAACCAAAACTATGCTATTTTAGAAATCAACACAGAAATTCTAAAGTACACTTGAAGAATAAGTGCATAATACAGGCTTTAAAACTGAAGAGGATAATAAGAGAAATATAGTTCCATTGTGTATTAAATTTATTATAAAACTACATTTTTCATTCCATTTGATACTGACACAAAAATTACCAGAAAGATATAGAAACATTTGATTACTAGAAAAAGAATTTTGTATCTATGAAAATTCTCTATGTAACAGAAAGGTGTAATAACAATTTGGTGAGGGACATAGAAGCCATTGTTTAATTGTCTGAAATCAGTTTATATATGTACCTCCTATGAACAGCAAAATTAATTCTATGAAATAAATTGTTTTATAAAAACCAAACACCAACCATTAAAACCTCATAGTCGTGGGCTAGGATGTGGTAGAGTGGTGGTAGTGGAGTGGTTGAGGTGCTGGACCCCCACATGGCCCACTAAAGTTCAAGTCCTGGACCCAGAGGCTTGAAGATCAAGTCAGGGATATGTGTGTCATGTCCAAAATCCTGAGAGGAGAATGGAGGAGAGTGGATTGTGGCATGTCCATTTCACCTATCGGGTGATTTCTCACTTTCTAGCTGTCAACCTCTAGTGACAATATACATCCTGTGGCAAAAAAAAAAAAAAAAAAAAAAAAGTACAAAATAATTTTTTTTTATGATTTTTACTATAGGGTGTGTGTGCTCACTGAAGAGACAGAGAGACAGAAAGTGAGAAATTACCCCCCAGGTGGGATGGCTACACTGCAATCTCTTCTCCGTTCTACTTTCAGGATTTGGGGCACAAACGCACACATATCCAGCATGAGTTTTAAGCCACTGGGTCCAGGACTCAAACCGGGGTTGACTATGTGAGGATCCAGTGAGGTCACCATTATGCTATCTGCTGGTCCCTATTTTAAGTTAAGTTTCTTTCTTTCATGAACAAGAAACACAGAATAAGACAGTGAAAGAGAGGGAGAGAGCAGACCGATGGGTCTTTGTACCACCGTACTCCACTTGCCTCAGGAAGCCCCAGAATGTGGGACAGACCAATGGGTCTTTGTACCACCATATTCCACTTGCCTCAGGAAGCCCCAGAATGTGGGAATCCTTGAGCCTAGCCTACAAGGGGAAGTATCTGGACCTGAACTCAGAACCATCTTTCATGAGTCAGCCTTGTAGAGCAGCGAGTCATACTGTGCACCATTGTCTTGCTCCCACTTACTAGTCAAAATTTCCAGTAGAAATAGATATTATGTCATTATCCCTTGCTTAAATAGAACAATGTGTTGAGAATTTAATGAAACCTAAATAGATATTCTCTCTAGTATAATGTGAGTATATAACAAATGTTTGTACATAAATTTAGGAATTTTATATATATTTTTCTTATATTTTTACAGTTAATTATTGCACATCTTTATAGCATACAAAATTATTTTCCCAGCATGAATACACTATAACTGCCTATTAGTCCACTCAAAGATATTACCATTCACAATATCTTCAACAGATAATTTTCTATTTTTATGTCTGTTAAATTTTTTCTTTATTTTAAATTTATTTTACATTCATTCACTGAACATTATCATAGTGTACAATATGCGATTTCCCATCCAGAATACACTGTATAGTGTCTTAATCATGTTATCATCAACAAGTAATTTTCCATTTCTTGTTTCTTATATATTCCCCCTCCATTCCTCCCCTTCTGCCATTTCTCACCCTCCTCCCCCCCTGTCTCTGGTATTTGCAGTTGCTTTCCACTCCGTTTCACCACCCCACATTTTATTGATTCATAAAATATCTTAAAACATCTGAATTAATCTAACTACTTTCATAGGAAGTTCATGTGGAAACCATTCATAAATTCTACCTGATGCATCAATCCTCCAGTCTCCAGTAGTTTTTGCCATAGGGCGAGCTCCACCAGACCCATAAATTGTACTTGAATTTAAAAGATTACAAACTAGAAGAAATAGTAGATAAGATTTTTATAAATTGTACATCTATGTATACATATACATATATACATATATACATATACACATATAGTGTTATATACTTGAAATTTATGTTCATTCATGTCTGTGTGTGTGTGTGTGTGTGTCAATCTATATAAAATGAAACAAAACCTAGGAAATATATTACAAAACCATTGGATAACATTTAGTGGTCATTAAAAACATATTATAAACAGGTAGAATGTTTACAGAGTTTCCCAATGAATTAGAACATTTATATATACTATATGAAGGAAAAGCACAGGATTAAAAATCCTATTTGCATGAAATATCAACTCTCAAAGAAGACTGCAAAAAAAATGCCAAAAATTAAATATTGTTAAATGTTAATGATTACTACTTTTGCTTGCTGTGATTTTTATTTTTGATTATTTTTCTAATTATTTTTTAAAACTACTATTATACTTTCACTTTACAAATTTCATGGGTAGTATAAGTTATTACAATCAATAAATGCCATACTCATTTATTCTTGTCAGAGGTCATGAAAGACGGAAGTTTAATCTTACACTTTATAATATTTAATTAAGCAGAGGCAGAGATTTTGGAAAGATGGTATTGATACCTAAATATCTGAAAAGGCTTGAGATCACTACTGACAAATCTATATTCAAAGATTTATAGATATTCAAAGACATCAAAACCATAATGCCCAAGTATACTTTTTGATACAATTACTTGAGAATATTCACCAGTTGAAGAATGAAACCAATGGCAAGAATTAGCTATAAAATCACTTAAAATAAAAGTCTAAATGTGTGTAACAAATGCCTACTCTATTGCCAAACTATTTCACATGAAAATATGAAAGAGACTGAAATTTGTTGGTAAATTTCCCTTCTTCTATTTTTTATCAATAAAATCAATTCTCTAAAATACTGCTTTAAGAATATCTTGACATTATTTTCCTAATCAGAAGAAAAACAAATAATATTTCTAAACCATACTGTCCAATTCACCACAATGTTATGGAGAGAGTACTGGAATTAAATGTATAAGATTATACTTGATCTTGATCTTAGTTCAACCACTTACAAGTGTTTCTTTTTTTTTTTTTTGAGAGGATTTTGCTATAGGGCACGTGTGCTCACAAGAAAGACATGAAGACAGACAGCGAGAAATCACCCCCCGGGGGAAGACTACACCACAATCCCCTTCTCCATTCTCCTTTCAGGATCTGAAAGGATGCATGCATGCACGCACACCCAGCGTGAGTTTAAACCACTGAGTCTGGGACTCAAACCACAGTCGACTACTTGGGAGTCCAGCAACATAGTCATTACGCCATCTGCTGGTCCCACGAGTGTTTTCAATCTATGATTCTCATCTAGACAACTGATTCAACCACTTTCCTTATATGTGAACAGCACCAGTAAGGTAAAGATTAAATGAGATAGTTGGGATTAGAACCTCTTGCTAAACATTAAGGCACTGTTAAAAAAAAAAAAAAAAAAAAAAAAACAGAGCTTACCTCATGGCCACATATTTTATTCCTGAAGATCCCTTCCAAAGAGAGACAACTTCTCTGCCCTCTAACTTAACCTACAGAAAATCAGCCTCAGCCTCAGAGAATGCTTATCTCCTGCTTTGTGTCAATCTTCCCATTACTAAAAATCCAGAGAAAGCAGGTAGTAAATCTTCATTGTTTTCCAACTAACGTCTTCATCTTTGAATCTACTGTAGATGTTCTGTTCTTAACTGAATTTTTCCAAGAATTTCATGTGGGTTGAAAATACCTTATGTTACAAAGGACTAGATAGTGTCGATGAGCCTTATTCCTTTACACAGATTCTGAACCTCAGCTGAACTGGATCACAGTTTTATTCCATTCCCCTCAATTCACAGGCAGAAGCTGAAAAGAATATATCTTGTGATATGGAAGTCGCCCTGAGTATAACCAACAACTCAGGGTTTCAAGTGTCTGAGTTCATCCTGATGGGGCTCCCAGGCATTCACAGCTGGCAGCACTGGCTCTCCCTGCCCCTGGCTCTGCTCTACCTCTTAGCCCTTGGTGCCAACATCCTCATCATGACCACCATCCACCGTGAGCCAACCCTGCACCAGCCCATGTACCAGTTCCTTGCTATCCTGGCCTTAGTGGACATTAGTCTGGCCACCACCATCATGCCCAAGATTCTGGCCATCTTCTGGTTTGATGACAGGGCCATACGCGTCCCTGAGTGTTTTGCTCAGATGTATGCCATCCACTGGTTCTTCTTCATGGAGTCAGGCATTTTCCTCTGTATGGCAATAGACCGATACATAGCCATCTGTCACCCTCTTCAATATCCCTCCATAGTCACGGATACTTTCATGGTCAAAACCACAGTATTCATGGTACTGAGAAATGGTTTGGTAACAATCCCAGTGCCCGTACTGGCTTCCCAGAGACACTACTGCTCCAGGAATGAGATTGACCACTGCCTCTGCTCCAACT